AGGAGGGAAAGAACAAGGTCTAGCCACCTGCAGAAGCTGAGAACATGGAGAAAGCTGAAGCCGCTCTCGCTTCGTGGCCGAGACAGTGGTGCCTTTGCTTGCTGTCCTCGCTTTTCCTCCTCTGGTTCCTCAGAAGGACAGGATATTTATTCTTCCTTGCTTATGAATTACCAAGCCGTCCAAATTCTCCCTGTGGGGAACCGCCATGCCTGCTGAGCTGCCCGGCTGTGCTCTGTTCAGTCACTGGAGACCAGCTTATCTAAACGAATCACTTCCAAACGTTTTCTTACAAAGATGACCTGGACTGAGTGTCAGAGATGTACTTTACCATGTGAATAAACCCACGAGGCCTCTCTCTGCTTCTACTACCCTGTTTCCCCTAAAATAAGACGCTGTCTTATATTAATTTTTGCTCCCAAAGATGCGCTAGGTCTTATTTTCAGGGGATATCTTATTTTTCCATGAAGAAGAATACAGAACACATTTATTGTTTATTGTTTTATTTAAAGAGCCCTCCTATTTCCTGTCTGCTCCAGCTGCGCTGCGGCCAACAGTGAGCTGTGCGGCTACAGTCCAGAGTCCAGAGTTACGGTAGCTTCGGGGGCCTTATTTTCGGGAAGGTCTTATTTTCGGGGGGATGCCTTATATTTCAGTGAGAGGCAAAACTGTGTGTAGGTCTTATTTTCGGGGGATGTCTTACTTTCAGGGAAACACGGTAATATATTAATTCTCTGAATCATCTTCAGCCTGCGTAGTGTACATTCCCAGGACAACCAGGAACACCCCGCACACACCCCTCCAATCATGTTACCTTCTACAATGGACCTTGTGCTTCAGGGGGTGGAGAGGGGGACCCTAGACTAGTATGTCATCAAGCAATCTGAGATTGAACTAGTTCCTTCACTCCTGAGCAAGGCCTCTTGGGACACGTTATTTAAATTCTTAATGCCTCAGTTTCCTCATCTGTACCGTTGCTCACCTGTAATAGCTATCCCAATTCTGTGGGAGAAAGGTGAGGCTTTCTGCTCCCATAAAGAGCCAGTTTGGGAAGCCCTAAGGAGCAGTTCTAGTCTGACTTGAGATGAGTTTTATTTTGCCTTTTTTTGGTTATTCTAATTCCACTGAATCATAGACAAGGAGAATTCAACCCACGTATAAACTCTTCTAGAGTACAGAGAAAAGGTTGAATAATCTCCTAGCTCAATTTACAAAGCTGATACGATTTCACCTTTAAAGTCAACAAAGATGGTCAAAGACCATTAATAGACCGATCTCTCTTATGAACATAAGTGGGCAGCCCCATATAAAATCCTATCCAATCAAAACCAGTGGTGTCTAAAACATACCATTGGACCAATCCTAAAGGTTAAAAATAGTAATAGCCCAGTCTTAGGGTAAGGATGGTTTAGCATTATAAAAATACCACGGTGAAACACCGTGGGTTGGATCCATACAATGAATGCCATTCCCTCCTGAAGCGAGAAGACAGAAATAAACTGGGTGGAAGAAAATAATTCCTTTAGAAAGCTTAAATGGGCCCGGGACAAGGGATGTCAACTGCTTTTAGAAGGATCGTGATGAGGGAGGAGTAGTGATTCAGCAAAACAGAGAGACTCTAAGGCTACAGTGGGAGATGTCGAGGAGAAGCACTGGAGTCGTGCCAGAGAATTCCTCAAAAGCCCAGACATGAGACTCACCGGGTTCTTAGAAGGTGGAGAACAGCATAAACTGGGCGAAAACAGCAAGGCCAGTTACGAACCTATAAGCGGAGAAGCTGGAACCCCATTCCCTTCCTCCCCTCAGCAGGAGACAAAGGTTTATTCTCTGGAGTCATTCAACCAGGGAGGCTCTAGACTCCAGTTTACCAGAGGAGGACGGAGGAGTGGCCCGAAATGACTAATACCTACCATGAATACCACGGAGTCCCTGGGTGGTGGTTAAGCACCGGACTGCTGCTGGCGAACCACTAGGGAAAATGAAACAATTTAAAAACGATACTTAACACCTCCAACCAAACCCATGGCCATTGCGTGGATTCCACCACACACAGCTCCCACGGGTGTGATCTTTATGGAGGACATGGACGCATCTTCCCTCTGAAGAGCAGCCGGTGGATTGGAACCACCAGTTTTAATGTCCGTAACCAAGTGCTCAACCATGGTGCCACTAGGGATCCTGGGAATATACTTGGAAGATTTAAATTCCAGATGGGTTAAAAGACAAACATTAAAGCTTTATTGATTCACTTGGAATAAGTAAGCCAAACTAACCTGACTACCTGCCATCAAATCAAATCCTACTCACAGCAACCATACGTAGGGTTTCTGAGGCTGTACATTTTTACAGGAAGAGACAGTCTCATCTTTCTCCCTCAGAGTTGCAGATGGGTTTGAACCAACAACCTTGTGGTTAGCAATTCAACGCTTACCCACTGCTACCAGAGGTCCTTTGGGATAAGTAAGGTCTTCTTAAATAATATATGCAAATAATTAATTGTGTGATTTCAAGCACATTAGTTAACCTTGCTGTTATTTGTGTTTGTTTTTAAATTGTAAAATGGAAATGATAAGTGTTGAATTATTCTGAAATTTAACTCTGATCCGTCAGAGTACAAATCTCATTGGTTACAATAAACTTACTGGTTTAGTAGTTGTATCCAGTTCTATACACCATAGTCGTCTGGGATGTTGACATTTTTTTCTAATGCTATGAACAACATAATGGCCCTAATATCCAGAAATTCTCCCTGTGTTAACATCTATGTCTCAGTACTTCTAGAACGGACAGAGAAAATGTTTTCTGACATTTTTCCAAGGTCCTAACCCACTTTTGACGCTTGTATGTGCTGGTTCAGAAACAGTTAAAAAAAAAAAAAAAAAAGGCAGTGAATTCTGAATGGTCTCTGATTCTTCTCCTTTCAAAATCCATTCCTGTAAGGAAATGATTAGTTGTATCTCAATTAGTGAGTACCATTCAAGACAAAAGGTCTTAAGCAATGTTAGCTACTTACTGCCTTTGCCTTCCCCTGTGTCCACTCCTGTGGTAGGGAATAAATGCTCTACAGAAGTGGACAGAACTGTGGAGTCCTTGGGTGGGAAACACCTTGATTCTTGGCTTCCCACAAGAAAGAATTCACGCCGAAGCCTAGTTTGTGATCCGAGTGGGTTTTTATAAAGGCTAGGTTTCAGGCGTCACAGTAACTGAACACAGGGCCCCACCTGAGGCCAGTGAGAGACCAGGCCAGTTCATGCCTTTTGGGGGGCCTTCTGCTGGGGGCGTGGCCAACAGTGCTGGTTGACCCCATTGGCTGAATTAAGACCACCTGGCCTAGATTGGACCAGTCTGGATGTGCCGCCCCCTAACTGGGGGGAGAGGGGGAAAAGACCTGAATTTGGAACATGCTCAGTAGACACACCTGGTCCCTGCTCTAGCTACCTAACAGAACAAAGACAAAAGATGCTTCACTGGTGTGGACTGTCATGGGCCTGTTCGCTTTTTTCCTTTTCCCCTATGACCAGGTCCATGACAAAGTCTAGAAATAAAGCAGTATGTCTAGATATAAAAACTCTCTCAGTCTCAACCTTCAGAATCTGATTCAAACAACCCAAGAACATCCCTAAAGAAATGCCTTCCTTAAATAGTTGCAGCAGCGCGGTGGTGAAGGCGCTCAGCTCCCAATCGGAAAGTTAGAGGGTTGTCTACCCAGTGGCCCCGGGCGATTTCCTTCTGAAAAATCAGCCATTGAAAACCCTGCGGGGTACAATTCTACTGACACACGTAGAGTCGCAGTGAGTCAGCACTGACTCTCCAGCCAGTAATCCCTGGTAGGCAGCTGGGCAGTGTAAGGCGGCATGTACCGGAGACACGGGGGTGAGGTCTGACGCCACCTGAGCCGTAGGCAGGGTACTCCCCACCTTGCTGCAGTCAGGGAAGAAGGTGCTGAGCAGGCAAAGCAACCCAGGGCCTTTCTTGGCTCGGTGTGTCCTACATTCTGCCTTGATCGCCTTCCTGCCCCTCAAGGTGCTACTTAGGTGAAAGGCTTGCAATCTTACAGAGCTTCCTGTTCACCCATGAAGTTAATGACTGTGGTTCTTTGCTCCAGGCATTGTCTTCAATTGCCCTACTGCGCATCTGCGGGGAGGCTGGCAAGCACATAAAAAGCACACTGGCCAGCCTGTTTCCTGTTTTGCCTCCAGGTTATCCTATGGTGATGTTCTCAATGTAACAGTCTGGGTTATCTGTTTGCTTGGGGTGAAGTTTAATTAGGGTGGGAGAAATTAACACCATAGGAGCATTGTGAGCACAATAAGCCTCACTTCTAAAGGGATTTAAGAGGAAATAATTGTAACTCTGCTTTGAGGCCTTGTTTTCCTGGAGCTGTAGGGAGCTCCCGAGGCCTGGCCATCTGTGCTGCCAAGAACAGAGGGCTGCAGACACCCCTGCTCGCTGGCTTGTTATATTTGCCGCCTCCATCCATCCAATGAGGGACTGGACCACCAATGGCCTGGACCACAGAGGACCTCTGGTCTCTCTGGGAGCCAGAATCTTCTGGATCACATTGCTCCCCGCCGTAGGGATCTCCCAAGGGCTGGTTGGCAGAGTTGATCAGTCTTTGGTCTGCTCCTGGCGATCAGAGACCCTAGTGAGATCTAGGAGTGTGACTGAGCATCTTCTCCCAATCCATCTGCTTCAGGATAGGCTCAGCCACCTTCCAAAGGGCTGGGCTCCAAAAGTAGGTTGCTTTGCCCTCTTTTCCCCTCCAGGCACAGTCTCCCTATTCCTCCACACACCACCCCCATCCCCCACAGCTATTCATTAGAAAGCCTTCTTCCCGGTAACCCTAGGCAACCGTGGATCTGCATTGGCTATTTGGGTTGTATTTGCAAGGCGCAATCAAGCCACTCACTGGGCAGACAGGCAAAAGCTCTAAAGGTTTTCTTGTACAGTAAAAAAAAAATCTTCATCCTCTTGTTTTCCTTTCTTTCTTCTTCTTTTTTTAGAATGACCAGTCCACGGATGAGATGCAGATCATTGGAGGCGATGATCTCTCCGCACTGGCTGGAAAGGTTCGTGGGTGTCACTTGGCTCGCTGGGTGCATATTGATGTCCCAGGGAAGCCGGGGACTCCATTTCTGGTCAGCACTTGCAAGACATTGCAGACACTCTCCAGGGTTTGCTAATTCATGCAAATGGGTGTGCGACTCCTTTTCATGATCTCTGCTTTGTGAAACACTCCTTTCAG